ATCATGAGCTTGGTCGTGTGTGCGTGTCTGACTGTGTGTGGGCGTGTGTGTATCTGTCTGTAGCTAATTTCGCATACTACTGGACCTAATATTCTTTGTGCACACTTATGACTTCATGCACATACATTTTCTTATACATACAATGTTAAAACAAAAAAACAATGAGTTAAAATAGTTATCATTTAATTCTAATTAATGCATAGTGACTCAATAAAACAAATATGCTAATTTGATCTATATTCTGGATGCCTTGACTGTGTTAGGTAAACTACAAGGTATATTTCTTGGGATAATCTACAAATAATTTATTCTGATGTTGTAATACAACTGTTTAAATAAATATTAACACCTACAACCATGAAAGGGGACACAATGTAATACATATATAACATTACTATATTATATTTAATACTGAAATTTTTACATCAATTATTTGTGGGTAAATAAGTACAAACAAAATATTTCATCAGATGTCATTGATGGTGGCCTGTCAACATACTATATTTAACTGTCATCACATGATTTAAATTTAATAAATCCTGATTGGTGCATGGAAGTACATGAGATCACCTTTTTCCAACTGAGACTTGACTTTTTCAAAACCAGTTATAAGAGTATAAGAGACAGACAAAAACCAAACAGGCAGAGATATCTCTTAAAATAACAAAATAATTGGCAGAAAATATTGAGTCATCACACACAGAGTTTTAAACACTGAACTTTCTAATGCCAATGAGTTTGATTTATAGGGTGACTATGATCCCTCCGAGATTGAGCTGCACCTTAGAGGGAATTGAGCAACAGATGCATGCTGAGACATGCAGTATTACACAGGCAAGTTTCATTTACAGCCCACGTACCCTTTCCTCCCACTAGGACACACTAAAATGATGACATAGGTATTCAGCACATTGTGTTCTGCATCAACAAAAGCATAATCTTTTATTGATGAAATGATTACCTGCAAGTTTTTCCAGGAGTGCATATTGTTATGCTAAATAATTTAGTGGGCAGACCCGTGGTCGAAATGCAGATTCAAGTGGGTCTAAAACTATTTAGTAATACCTCAACACTCCCAAGAAGAAAGACAGACTGGCTGCACACATGGTGTCCTTCACTGCTGCTTTGACATGAAAAATGGCTTGTATGACAGCAAGCACTGGTGACTATGTGTACTTTTGGGGAGGTCTGGAGCTATAGATATTTGGATCCCACTATCTCTCTCAGGCATTAAGTCAAGCTTTATTAATGTCCAATTAAAATTTCATCAGCACTGAAAAATAAATGAGGCGGAATATGTGTTTGGGAACAAGCCATTTCACTGATGCAACTCTTCAATTAAGCCTCAGAAACAAGATTGCATTTAATGGCTCCCATTTAACCTCAATTTGGCATTTTTACTGTTCTCTGTCTCATATGGAAACCAAACAATAAGGAAATGGCCCTATTTGTCAAACATCGCCTGCTTCCCTACCCTTGCTTTCATTCTAAAGTTTCTGGGCCCCTTCATTGTACACAGCATATACTGATGTGTTTAGCTGATTGCATGCCAGCACGGGAGAAGGACATCAACAGTGTACCTATTTCTCTGTTTGACTTTGTAAAGAGATTCAAACTGAATGACAAAACCTCAGTGGAGCAGAAACATGAGCCAATGCTGAAATGCACAATAACGTATTAGGGGCACTCCACGAGGTGGAAACTTGTGCTTGTTGTGTAATTATTTTACAGAAACTTGCATAATTCCAAAGTGGAGTCGATTAATCATTGATGAGTGTGCCATGGACCATGGCTTGAGCCTATTATGATTTTGCAAAGTAAACATTGTTACAAGGATTTTGTCACGCTCCAGACCTTTATTTCATAATTTGTAGTCCTGTGAGTTCAGTGGACAGCAGCAGAGCTGAGTAAATATTCAGATTCAAACATATATTTGCTCACGTGCTCTCACTGAAATCAGGTTTATGTTTTAAAGAAACACAAAGGTAACATTGTTACATTTAGGAACAATCAGAAGTATTATTAAATAAGTTGGCAATTAAAAAATGTAATCATTCAAAAAGAATATCATAGAATAATGTACTTTCATTTAGTTCCTGTTATGAGTTGTATTTTTTCCCTGTGGTTTTCTGGTTTTTAACATAATTTCCTTAGTCCTGTGCTTTTGTTCATGTTTAGTGTTTTCCTGATGTGTGTACTTCTGTGTTTTGTCATTATGGTCTGTCTTAGTCCTTAGTCTTATATCTCCATGTTTTAGTGTAGTCTCCTGTTTGGTCCCGTCTCTGTCAGTGTCCTGATTTTGCGGTCTTTCCCTATTTTGTGTTTTACTTTGGTAGATCTGTCCTTGTGTGTTCCTGTATACTTTATTTCCTGTTTTATTTTGGTAATCTTGTGTACCTGGTGTCCTTGTCTAGCTTTGTTTGATTACCTGATGTATCTCAGCTGTGCTTCCCTCCCTGCTAGTTTACCAGTGTATATATTGTCCTCAGTTGTTTTCAGTCTTTGTCACATCCTTGTGTCTACATTGAGTGTTCTGCCTAGTGCGCTGTTCCCTGGATTTCTGGTTTTGGATTACTCTGTCTTACATTCTTCTGGATTACCTTTGTTTGGACTTTTGTACCGAGCTTCCACGTAAGCCTGTTTAGTTATTTGAATAAACCTTATTTTGAAGTGCATCCTTCTCTCGCCTTGCTGTTGTCTGCATTTGGGTCCACACCCCTCAGTTCCCTGCCACTTCACTCAGCTACCCCCTTGACAGTTCCATTCATAAGGTGCAGAATGATTCATTAAGGGCTTGAATGTAACAGATGTTCATCTGTAAAAGTCCCACACCCTGGCTTTAAAACAAAGGATTCATGATATGCATTGAACATCATCTGCCTGGAAAATTATGTTATTAATAGACACTGGCAATAACACAGTGCCCAGAATACACCCTTGAGGATTTCAAGTGGATTTATTTTAATATCAGCAACAATAGCCTGAGTTATTAGATGCAATAAACCAGCTTTTATCAACATCAACCAATCCAAAACGTGTCTAATTAAATTTAAAAAATGATGACCAACATTATTAAAGGCCTTAGGCAAAAATTACTTAATCCAGTATAGCTCCCTCTGCTGGCTTAGAGGATATTGATTGCATCACAACAAAATATGAATAAACTATGTGGCCAAACAGACATACAGTGGTGATAAATAGTTTCAGCTACATTCTTTTTCTTGGAGATAGGAGTTGTTTCGTAGATACAATTTGTGGAAGATGCAGTGGTGGGCTGTTTGAGGGGCAGGGCCCAGGGGTGGGAAAAAAGCTGTGTGCAGTGGGGCACTAGTGTGCAGAAAAAACAAACAAACAGCTTTAGAGGCATCATTAGAGCACATTGTCTTGCACGTAGGAGTGTGTGGAGGCCAACAAATGTTTCAGCATGTAGGGCAGCCTGTATTGTCCACAGGAAGTAAAACTTCCTTTCTTGTTAATCAAACAAACACTGATATCTCTGATGCCAGGAGGTCCGTAAGTCAGCATGCATACCAGAGGACCTGGTGCTGGAGGATGCTTTGACTGTGTGGTGTTTTTAAAAAAGCCTCAATAGAAAACCGAGGGGCACTCGGCACTCTTAAATATGGCATGTCTTTAACCAATGTGATTGAATAATTAAGAAAAATAATTAAGGGCTTGAGTAATTCAAGGTCAGAGATAGAGCAGGCACTTTCAGTGGATGAGCTGAATAAATTATGCAGGAACCCCTGTTCAAGGAGGTGTTTCTTTGAGTAATGTATCCACCATGATATCTTTTGTGGCTGGAATACCAGAGGTTTCATGTATTCCTAACATATTTCTGTGCGCACAAACGTAAGTGATACACGCATGGTGAAAATATTGCTCAGAAAATGAAAGACTGACACGCACAATGGAAGTGAAGCAGATCATTTGTTGAACTTTTTCCCTCTCTCAGCTAGAGTGACAAAAAACGGCAACGTCTCTTTATGTTGCAGATTCCCCAAACAGTTGTACTTGTAATACCCCACTGGGTTATTTAACATTTTTAATTGAATATTGACCCGGTCACATCTTTCGCAAAGTCAGTTCACTTAAAAATGCTGTTAACATGACTATATCCATTGATCCTGCAAAGTAAAGTACTCTTGTTCCTGGAGTGTGGGCTATGAGCCTGGTAATGAGCTCGATGATTGAATACTGGACTGGAAATGAGGCAGGGGTGGCTAATGAAGTGAGAGTGGAGGACTGTTGAAAGGAGGTGGGGTGTGTGATGGTCTAAAAATATGTATTTGTGCAGGAAAGTTTCCTGCAGTCCTGACATGGATTAAACTCTAACACGAAGTGTCAATCTTTTCCTCCTCTCTGGTGTTGCAAATTAAAAACAAACATTCAATAATAATTACCCCTTGAGATCAGCTTTCTGACAGTACTGGCTTGGGAACACGTAAGCCGTAAAAGGGAGACAATGAGGGCTGTCATGCACAACAACAAAAAAGAGTTTTAATTGACTCGCCACAACAACAGCACTCAAGTCTTTTCTCAGGAAAGTACACCTAGTTAAGATTATTGTCTTAAGTGGAGCAACACAATTACTTTCCAAAGTCATGCTATTCAATAAGCAAAACTTTGCCAACGGCTTTGACATTCACACCTGAGTACAACAACATCTTTCTCCCTGTCTGCCCTCCCCTCCCCAACCAGCTACTGAAAATGACAGATTAAAAGCAGGTTAAAAGAAAGTCAGACATCAGATCGAGCCAGTCTCAAAGAGAGATTGCCTCTGGAAGTTAAACCATTTTCTAAATTTAAACCCTAATAATTATATGACCAAACTCTACTCAGCAACCCTCCCTCCAGCTTTTGATGGAGAGATAGGCTAAGTCTTTAAAACTTAATTAATATAGGCCTGTTGGCTGCATGCCATTGCTACCCTCTGGGTTACCTTCTACTTTCACTTGATCTGCCCTGGCAGTGTGGCAATAAGAAAAGCTGAGTTGTACCTTAGCTGCAAATGATGAACTAGGCTTCTCCAAGAGGTCCCAGAGTTTCTTCCTCTTTTCGGAACAGCATGTGGTTGTAAACTCCTCTCCTCCCCTCTCCCTCATGTTCTCGGCCTCTCTTTTGAGCTCCTCGTTCATCTGCTCCTTTTTCTGGTGATACCTGGCCTGACAGCAGGACTCCAGGTAGATCTCGTCGATGCCCCAGAAGTCCAGCTCTTGGCTGAACGAGAGGGCGCACATCTCCTCCATCATGTGTAACTTTCCGGTGCGATAGAAGTTGAGAATGGAGGTGAATGCGCCGGGATGCCTGTCGAAAAAGTACTCGTTGCTATCTAAGCTGTAGTCGTCGCATATCTCCATGATAGAGTCGTGGGTGTTGCAGTCTCTTAGTTTGCCCAGTCTTGTGCGGGGCAGCCGGTCCAGCGTCCTCCACAGGACTTCGTGGAGGAGGCCCCCGACGTTGAGCCTCACTCGGCGGGTGTGGGTCTTGCTGCGGATGATGTCCATCGTATCCGTGGGCAGCGAGGTGCCCGACCGAGACCCCGCTTTGATCATCTTCACTCAAGTCACTCGGTCACTTGGAAAGACTGGAAGATGCAGTCTGGTAGATTAGGAAGAGGTGGTCCTGTAGAAGACCTCATCAGGGTCCCTCCTTACTTCGTATTGTGGCTGTAATAAAAGACAAAAAGAAAATAAATTATTGCCGTTGAACAGTGAGTGCCGGTGTCCTACAGTAGCAATGTCAGGTGGTTTATCCACTCATCAGAGAACCAAATAGATATTTTAATCAGCTTTAACAGGCACAGCCGATTTTCTTGCTGACTAGGGTGGCGGGGGGGCGGGCCAATGATAAACTGGACTTCACTTGTGAGCGCTGTCCGCTGCTGAAACGGCGGTCGGTCGCGCCACAGACACAGCGTCTGTCGCTGTCCACGTGCTCTGGTGCTGAAACGTCTCAGCCCGGGTGGGACAGCAATCCATCCCTTATGCAAAGGCAGCGTGTTTGTGAGAGACAAACATGAATATGTTGCCGAACTGTTCTCTAGAGGGATGTTAAGCTGGACTAATACTAACACCGATTATCAACTTTGATTAAGAGCCCGCAACACATTATGTCACCCCCTAAGACCAGTCTGCTGTTACAAGTTGTTTGTAGTTTTGTTTGCTCACGCCGACTTTCCAAAGCAAAATTATAGCAATGTGGAAAGTTAATTTTAGCTGAGGCAAACATGTCATGATTACTACATTCTTTTGCGCATGTCTGAGTCATGCAACACATTTTGGGGAGATACATAAATATAGGCTACCTACATGAGCTGGCAGTCAAACTAGTGCATCGTGATGGCCAGCTACACCAAACAGAGACAGCATTATGCAATGTCAAAGTGAAACTTAGTGCTTCGTCAACAACTGCCTATGACAATGAAACCTGAAGCCAAGATTAAATTCAAACACAATAAAGAAATACGATACATGCGTGTCTTTCTTAAATCCCGACTCACCTCGTGGACGGACATCAGCACCATTTCAAGAGTAAATGCGTTGAAACTTCTTATGCCCGTCCAGGTCTCCCGCGCTCTGCCGGGAGCTGATGGAGGCATCACGAGCTACATAGCGACATGTCGAAAAATTTAATTGTTTTACGCAGACCTCGCCATGTCCAATCTGCCCTGTCCACCCCTCCCGGGGCAAATCAACAAGTAGACTCTCGGGAGTCGCCGGGAATACTGTCCTCTCTCGTCTACCTGCTCACGGCGGGAGTACCTGCTGGCCGTCCGGCGCCTGTAACTGTGAACGGGATCCTGCAGGGGCTGACTTCACTCAGACTCCTCCAGCGGCTGCAGCCTGTGTGAGTTTTAACCCTCACAGAGCCGTTGAGCCACAGTTCAGAACATCTATAATGCAGTTCATGCTTTGTGCAGCAGTGTAAGAGACCAGCAAACCATTTCATAGGAATTCACACCATCTGCCACTACTTGATCAAAATAATTTTGTGAAGGTACTATATGCCCATAACTATTACAGCAAAAACTGTAATTTTACCAGGATTCTTGTAGATTCATTTTAAAGTAAGGCCACTGAACACACCATATATCCTTATAGAAAGAGGTGTACTCCTGGATTTCCCTGGATGGTAGCCTGTGGATGCTTACTAATCTGAAAAATGGTGGAAATACGGTATCTACTATAAGTCTGTGCAGTAGTATAATTCAGACTTTGCAGAGACAACCCAATTGTCTTGGCTCCATGACATAGTCATGTTACGTGGAAAAAAGTTACTCATTCATCCGCACAAAATCAGCGACTCAGGACACATAATTAAAGCCACCTTTATTGGGGCTTAGTTGGGCAGATTTTGTTCATGTCTGTGCCCTAACTCTGTATCTTTTAATCAAAACATCATGTCTTCAACATGAAGTGAACAGAAATAAAGAGCATTTTTCTTTGTTGTTTAATCACAAGCCTGCATTGTACTGTTTGTGATTAGTCTCTTTCCAAACGGCATATAAATCTAAACTTTCCACTTAGCTTAACTCTGGAAACAGCAGGCATGTGTCAGTGTGACAGATGTGTAGCCGGCTCTGTTTACAGTACAGGCAGTCCCCTCATTGCACTCGTGCTCTCTATTTAACATACAGAACCCCTCAACACCTTGTGAACACTAGTTGAAGCAGCTGTAACGGACTTGAACTAATCATTTCACTCCAAAAACGCAAAGAAATTTGAAAACACAAGATTAGACATAATGTATTATTTACATTTATTGATAAATAACAAAAGTACAAACTGTATAGCATAAATAAAAAATACAAAAGTTCAAACGGCATATTGACACTATAAACAATGTGCATATGTTGAAATGAGCATACAAGATAGGTGTTCTGCTGGTTTTAAAGTTTAAAGTGTATTCCTGGGTTTATATCGGATGAGCAAGTCCCCCTCTGGTTGCATCATCCCAAATCCATAACGACTGGCATTTACCTCCGGCATCTGAGCATTTGGGTCACAAAGCTCCAAATTGTAGTTAGCCAACACCATGTAAACAAACCTCAAGAGTAGACACAGATGAAACATAAAATTAGAACACTAAGGTAACAAACTTCTCCAGCGTGGAAACCTTTTCAGGTCTGTCACCATATATGATGCACTAGTTCTAGGACACTTACTGTCTGATGGTATTGATGGCAAAGTGCTTTCCCACACAGCCATTGGTCCCTGCACCCCATGGCATAGTGTAATATTTCAGCCGCCTCCCTCCTTTATAAAAATCTCTCTTCATTGATCCATCTTCATTCAGGAAGCGATCGTACTTGTATTTCTGGAAAGGAAACACATTTTTTAGAAGCAGATATTAGATGCAAACAATTAGAAAGGACAGATTTATCTATGGAAATTAGCTCGATTATACAGTTTAATGCCTGTTTGTTTTTCTAATTTCTGCTAGACAGACTTTCTTAATGCAGTCTTACTGCAATGTCCTTCCCACGCCTATTAGCTGTGTTTCTGTTCCTGTGCTCGGCTAATCTCTCAATGGTCCACAGCTCTGGGTTTGACCTCTCACTGGGTAATACAGGGTCAGCTTTGTGTATGCGCTGTTTCCACCTTACATAAACCACTACACTAATTACACTTAAATATGCCTCCAACTAATCCCCAATACAATTACTACTATTCCTACTGGCAGCTAAGGAAGTTTTTTTCAAACAGGGATGCCGTTACTTTAACAAGACAGGACTACAAACCTGTGGCTCTTGGTAAATCTCAGGGTCCATCTGAGGGCTGTTGAAAGGGAACAAACACACCCTGTCTCCTTTCCTCAGCAGGTACTCCTGGCCATCTGCCATGTGGAGGGTCTTTTCCTGCACTACCTCTCTGGTGATAAAGGGGGCAGCAGTGAGTCTAAGTGTCTCTTCCAGGGCACTATCTGCGAAAGGGCAGAAAGAAATGTTGTTAATAATATCATAATAGCAGCAGTATTTGTCCTCATAAATATATTTTATGAATTTTTACAACTTAACTGGTCTATTTTATACAGTACACAATGCCTATTTGGAGTTATAATTCCCAATTTCTTTATTTAATAAGTTTTCTTTTTTCCATTGTTCTTGGTCCAGTAAATTGTGCTCTATATGTGTACATAATCTCTATTATTCCAGATTCTATTCTCCATTCTATAGACTACAGTATATGTTGCATTCTGAAAAAAAGTGAATCCAGACTTTTGTCTCTACTTCATCTTGTTGACAATAGGAACCACCTACAACTATACAATAAATGTCTTGGTTTACACAAGCTGAGATCAAGCCCTCACCAAACACAGGGGTTTTCACAGGTCTGTCCAGGTGAGAGGTCTCTGAGGTTTCCATCTCCCTCTTCACCGCTGTCAGAGCCTCAGGACTGGTCAACAAGTAGCCCAACAGCCAAAATGCAGCAGGGCCAACATTACCCTGGAAACAAACAAAGACTCACATGATGACAATGATAAGGTCGTCTCTCTCACTTTGGCGTTGCATAGTGACAGCGCAGGTGGTTATTTAGTGTTTGCAAATAAGAACACCACATGACACCCAGAGTACCCATGTCTGTCTTTTGTTGTTGCAACAAAGTACAGATTTCCAGTAAAGTTAGGTTCAAATAAATACATTTTTTAAAAAAGCCTAATGAATCTTTAGTGCTGACGAGATAAAAAAAGAATGGCTTCCTTTCATGTGTCTGGGATGAGAGGGGCCATGGTCTGGATAGTCTCACTACTAGCAAAGCGCAGCACGGTAATGGTTTACTTAAAAAGGAAAGCCATTGGAAACCCGAGGTCCCCTGCCATCTGCCTGCATCCAAGGGCAGGACATTTAAGCTATTTAGCTTTAGAGTAAACTACAACATTGTCTGCCAGGAGTAGACACATACAGTAGTGAACACAGAGGAAATATAACATAGTGATTTCATTTCTACAAAATTGCCTCCTAAATCACTGCAAATATACTACAAAGAGTAAATAATGCTTACTTTACAATACATAAACACTGATGATGATAGAACTTGAGTATCCACTAAAGCATGCGTCACAAGAACATATTCTCCAAACATTTGGCACAAGTATCGCAGACCTGAGCGTGGGACACCGTCCTTAGAAGCAGAAATATTTTCTGTGCGTTTGACTACACTGACTAGCATTACATTATTGCCTGAACCATCTAACAAATGCTCTGTATGTCCAAGTACATCATGCAAATACATGTTAATTCCTCTCACTAAAGTTTCAGGGAAGTTTAAAATGTGACTCAGAGACAACTAAACATTATGACTCAAAACTTGTAATCCAACGGAAATAAACCACGGTGACAAGTGCAAAAAGGATCAGTAAGCAGCCTGCTGGGTAAAGCAAATGTTCAAGTAAATGTCTGATTAACACCTTTGGTGCAATAAACCCCTCCAGCAGGGCTGTAGGCAAGACGTATGAGTCAATACCAAGTCCAGTTATATGTGAGTAAGTAGTCAAGACCAGCTCAAATCTCATTCAAGACTGAAACCAGTATAACCTTGACCTACTTTTTGTCTTGTAAATGTAGAAATGACAATCACTTTCTTTAACATGGGTGGAGATGCAGGTATGCGCACACTGCTCCATGACCCGACTGTTTGTAGATGTACAAACAAACCAGTTTAAAAGTTTCAGACTTATTAGTTGTAACTGTAAATT